TATCAGATAAGCTAATTAATTCAACAAGTATTTCTAGAGAATGGTTTACCTTAGTTGGAAGAGCAAAATTCAATCCTTTTTAGAATAAAAGTACTACACTACTCTCCAGGGTTGTACTAGATAATTTGATTACCTTATCCTTTACCACTTTGTTGCAACCATGGTTAGTAAGATTTATCTTAGGCACAAAGTTTCTCAACCATATTCTAATTCCTAAATTACGGAGCTTTTTATCATGTATCCGACGCGTAGTTCTGCCAATCGCCTCTCCTAACCTGTCAGCCATGTTTTGTAACTTAATGAAATCCACATCATTTAATAGTTTAGAGAGGTATTGTCTAAGCTTAGTTTTGGTTCTAATTAGTTCGTGGAGTCTGTAAATGCTTTCCTTGAGCCTACTTTTAACTAAACCACACGACAATTGCTCAAGTTCTCTATTTGTGGATTTCGGTAGATTATAACGTCTGCCGAGTAAATAACATCTAGGAACAACATTATGAGTAATAGAAATTTTTAAAAATTTAATTTTATTAACTTGCCGGGATATAGTTTTCTTGGTTGAAGTGTAGCGAGAAGACAAATGACAATAAGTCGAACCGTACGTACATTTTAGATATGGAGAGAAACTGGGTTTCGATGAATCTCTTGAGATAACATTGTTAGGGGGACTTTAGTTCGTATGAAAGTGAATGAAGCAGAGATTCGTTGGTCGATCTCAACCAGAATCTTGTTGTACTGCGGCCTTTTGGCTTTTATACTATATTCATGTTTACGCAGTCCACAAGACTTCCTCCCTCGTTTCGGGATGACTGTTCTAGGATATAAAACGCTTGCACTCTACGGCTCCAAATTTCGAGGCTCCGAAACGGAGGTAGAGAAGGAAAAATAGTATTACCAAGTGTCTTATTTAGAAACGGCTGAATACGGTAGGGATGGCTAGCAATAGAAAGACAATCATTGAAATGCGGCGTGAAATAAAAAGCTTGAACTCCGTGGGTCACAACGGAGGGGAGAAAGAGGAGGAAGAAAACATGACAATCCTGAACAGTATGTTAGCTAATCAAAGGCATTAAAACTAAGATGGTGTGGCCTTTTGCGTGGTCGCAATCTCAATTCGCTATATAGAAGTTGTTTCACCTTGTTTTCGCGACTTGGTCATATTGGCAGGAAGACCTACCTTGATATCTTGCTCCAGCCTAATCTTTTCTGTCACTCCTGCCTTGTATAACTTGATCTTTATATAACTACAACACCATATCCTTCGGTCTTTTATCTTTATATCACAGGACAGTTCTCGCGGTCTAGTTCGTACTCAATATGGAGTCTTAGATCTTAACTCTAGTGTACCAGATGCGATCAGAATAATATCATCCTAGGTTTTCGCATCTCGACTGAATGTGAAATAGGCATCTGAAATGCAGTTTGAGTGTCTTCTTTACTTGGCTTGTTGACTTGTGCATATTTTATTTTGCATCTTTCTTGGCATCACTTAAAATATACAGCTAATAAATATCCTCCAACTTCTGCTAAATCGTCTATCTATTAGCAACGAAAACAAAATTTAACATTTTGCTCGCCATGCATTAACTGACTCTCCTCTCTTTTGCGCACACACTTATACTTAAACCCACATGTCACAATCATAACAATACTGTTTTTCGAACTCATGCTTAACCATTGACACTAGTTTTTTTTCTAACTGCGCTTGTCTCATCGGAATTCACTCTGATTAGCATTTCTGGTATGACCGTATTTTCTGTAGATTGCAGCCCCTTCAGCGTCTTTAACTTCCCATACCTGCACAAGGAAGAGGACATTTAGTCCTTTTTTAAATCATCCCTAAATTTTTACCAAAGTTAGCATTCTTTTCAAAAGACGAATGAAGATCTGCTTTAAATACGAAATGCATCGTAAGGCTCTAATTTCGATCATACGACGGTTTTGATGTTTTACAATAAAGTGAGAAGATTAATCAAGTAACTAAGTAGTTATATACGTATTTTTCCAGCAGTTTGGGCCATGTTTTCTAAGACGAATAAAAAAGATAGAACTTTTTATCAAGAAATCCTGGACGTCTATCATCTATAAACCTAAAATTTGAAATTAGTTACTTTCTTAAATTAACTATTAATGGTTTAATAGGATATCTGGATCCTAGAAGTCAGAAAATACATTAATTTATCATACCTTTGGGTGAGTAATAGCAACGGGATTTTCTGATTAGTCTTTATTCTTTATCGATGCACACTAATAAGACTAGTGTTTAAGGTGTAATCGACCTTAGTGATACTAACCTCATTGAATATATTAGAGTTTTCCTATAGTTTAAGGAGACGTAACATAGGCATACTACTTCTCTCCACGACCCTCTGCTGCTTTCTCTTTGTGGGGTTATGAGCTAGTATTGTGAGAAAGCTCAGTCCTGTATTGTATCGGAGCCCTATGGGTTAGATGACATTACTTGTCTCCTGATGCCTTCTATCTTAGATAAGCAAGAACCAAGCATACAACTCATTTTGTACGGTAGCTAGTAGCACACTTAGCTTCTCTCCGTTCATGGCATTCACTGCATTGGTGTCTTTAGTTTGTTCTTTGGGATAACTGGATACTGATAAGGACAGCATAGACTATATTATTATGTCTGGTTCCATCTTTTAGCTAGCTTGGCCCGCGTTCTCCGAAAAGATTTTGGTATTTTTTAGAATTGCCGTTAATCTCATTTGTTGATGATTAGTTAGGCTTATCTTTCTTATTCTCAATAGACTTTTTAGCTACTTTGAGTAAATACTCTCAATAAGTTTTTCCTGTGATATTTTTATATTTAAATTTTAGCGCCATAGAGGAGACTAGCTAGATTAGTCTTTTAGTTCTTAATTTTGAGTTTCAAGTCCAATTGAATCCATACTGTTGGTATTATAAATGATTTTTCGTGCAAGATCTATGCGATTCGATTTGTGTGTTCGATCTTACCAGGAGACGATGGAAGCCTTCTAATGCAGTCCACAATACATCCTTTGTCTCCAGTAAAATCTTTCTGAGTGTACATCGTCACAGCTGGGTCTTATTACATAAACTGTAAGAATTTACTGAATCTAGAAAGAGAAGTTCTTTTCCGACTCTGTTAACATACGGTTTATGAAGGATCCTTAGTTGCTTCGATTCGACAGTTGTGGTAAGGCTGTCAGGCCCGTCACTTGGGGATCCAGAAGCTGTGGCTGTTGAAGCAAGGTTATTTAGCCTATAGTGATTCGGTTCAACTCTTACTACACCCTTTTTGGCAACAGTGAGCCCAAAATCTTCTATTTTTTATACTATTGGATACCATTATTTAGCACTTACTTGAGCCCGAATGTGCAATTTCATTAAATTTTTCTTAAACTGAATGATCAAACTAAAGGTGAAGGATCAAAGCCTGTGGATAAGAAGCTACAGCGAGCAGATTTACAAGAATGAGCCTATGTAAATCAGAGATGAGTCTTTTGAATACTTCTTACGTGCGGAGTACCGTTTGATTTTAGATTGAAGATGTGCTTATCCTGTGAAGCGTGGCGGGGTAAGCCTTTCTAGTATATGATGCTATAGCATGGGCCTCCTGAGTCATGAAGAGGTCAACCTCTGGAGTTTTCGTGGCGAAAGAATTAACGCGAGGCGCTAATGTTTAAACGCAGTGCTGTGGCGCCGAGGTATCGAGGAGATATGTGGCGCACATGGAAAGGCTCAGTTATTGTCTTACCGAGTAAATCGGGTCAGATATGAGTTCTTATTAAGTGTTTTTTGAGATATGAAAGTCGCTATCGGATTAGGACCGGACAGTTGATCTGGTTTTAGGTCAAATGATCGTAGAAATCAGCAAGTCTAAAATCAGAGTGCATATGCCAATTCGGTGTTTAGAGAGTGAAGGTGTGCGCTTGATGATTTGCCTGTGTGCAAGAGTAAAACTCTGGAGGGCAGGGCATTTTCGTGAGATTGTACATCATAGGTACATGTTGACTGTGTCGGTTAATGAGACTGGTTTAGACAGCAAAGTGTAGATTTGATAAATATGCCCTGTGTTGCTTAGACTGGCTAAGTCTGTGTGGCGAACACGAATTAGGCCGACTTTGCGGAAGCTGCTACTATATTGTCTCTATACCTCTTAGACTGCTTTCTGTATAATTACATTTCTGGCCTCACTGTATCACTTTATTTAATTTAAGTTTGCTTCCCAAAGGGCCTTATCCATGCATATATTTGCCTCTAATCTCGTATGAATATTTCAAATCATGGCCAAGGATATTTTTTAACTACTCAACTTTTATCCAGTGACACTGCCGAATTCAATGGCAAGTTAGATTCGCTAAATATACCACATGTATTTACAACAATTATCTCTTGTTAGAGACCTATTTTGCACCGCGATATTTTGTTCAGGGGCAACGCACCTCTCCTTGATCTGTTAGGCTATCTTGTGTTCGATTGGTGCAACTGATGAGATCAAAAAGGAACTGTAATTCATCTTGGTTAGGAAAGCCTTTCGGTAGGCATGTTCATGTCTTATTAAATAGCACTGCGAGCACTTAGGCATATTTTGCAAGGGGCGCTTCTATTACCAGCTGTGTACTGTCAAATCTTCCTTTCTAAAAACATCTTGATTGTTTACTTTGTTGCTAGGTCTTCATATTTACTCGAAGGTACTTGATTTCATGTTTCCTAATGGCCTCATGTTAATTTCCAAATGCTGTATGCTTTGCTTCCATTGAAACTTTTTCAAATATTTATGCAGGCTCAACGGAGTTTCAACTACCGTTATTACAAAATAATTAGTCTAATTTGGCCCAACTTTCACTGATTGGGTTGAAATATATTTTTCATTATATTTGAATACATTATATATTCTGTTTTCTTATTCAATGCTCCGAACTATTATACAGAATTTTCTAAACTTTATTTTAGGGATTCGCCTTTCCCTTGTGCTCTCCTTTTGCATTTGGTCTTTTCGATTCCTCGCCTACGCCGTAATTATAGAATATCGCCTTCCGGTATGGTGCTTCCTTGGCGTTGAAGTACTTCATGGGCCATCTTTCGCTTTAATGTTTTCCTCCCTGCTCATAGAAGTGGAACGCTTTGGCCATCTTTACCAAGAAGTTGAAGTAAAGACGGATTGCAAGAGTAAAGAGGTTGTCAACAGGTTTTCCAAAGAAGGCAGTTCTGTAGCTACGCTCCAGGGCCTTCTTTCTGGCATTATGTTTGGAATAGGTAGAGTTTTCCTTAATCGATATACTTAATTTATCAATTTTGTTTACCAGCATCAGGTTCATTAGTTAATAGCTTTTTTTATAGGCTGTAATTTAAAATATTCGTAATGTATTTTAATTAATTAATACGTTTTCATTCTTATGCGAGAATTATGTGATCACATTCTGCTCTTATCAAAAAGTAAAGTAAAGTACATTTATCCATAGAATACATTTCTTAATTATTTTCTGGGTTCGTAGTAGATACTATCTGAATGCAATTTATAACTTCGTCATTTAGTAAATTATCAGAGACAACCTTCCTTCGCCTCATGGTCTTTGGATATAATGCTAGATAATAGTTTGAGAATGAGTCCTGTTATCTGCCTTACTTATGAAGAACATCTAAATACTATAGCTAAAACTGATTAGAATTTTGCATTATCTGATTATATATTGTCAACTCGAAAATCTAGGGCTGATAACAGTCTGTCATACAGAAATATGCAACGAAATACTAGGTTTATAAACTAACTAAGTCTTAAATAAGAGCCTGATTTAAGGAATGCCAGAAGAATTTCTCACAATTCATTGATTGTGAGATCTCACGATAGAATAGAGTTTCATTTAGCTTTGTCTTTTAACAAGCCTTCTCATCCATAGTGTACTGCACTTTCCACCAGAACTGCATATCCTTAGTGCCTCCAATGGGACTTGAAACTGGATTTTGCGTTTCACACGGAAATATTGCCACTCCACCATACAATTATACTAACTGTAAATGCGAGAGCCTAGTTTGCCCTAAAATTCCTATTTACCCTTTTTATTTTAACGACTATCTTTTTCCTTATTATTTCGGAATAAAAATAAACGTAAAGTTTGATGTTGGAGTACTTTTCATTTACTTTGAAGAAGAGAGGGAAAGGTATTCGTAAGTTGGCCTCACTGGAAGCTGTAGGAGGATTGCCCCGGAGCTGTGACTAGATTTGTGCGAATAGGTCCTCAGTGCACCGCCCTGCGACCCCGACGGATCCTCGCTGAGCCTACGTCCATCGTGTGACGGACATCGTAAAAGCAGGGCACCACACTTAACGATGGACTAAAGCTAATCAAGGATTTATCGGGGTCGCAGGATTGTTTGCCGAAAACCTTTTCGGAAAACTTTAGAGTCAGTCTTATGGCAATCCCTCTACAGCTTCTGGTGAGGCCAAATTACAAATTCATTCCACTTACCTCTTCTAACTCCTACAGCTTCATCATTTCTCAATAGAAAGAATAGAAACGACTTTTTCCTATTTTTGCAATTAGCGTTTTTTGCCTTTATTGCTAAACTTAACTTCAGCGGACTGGGTTTGAGGCCACCAGTAAATAAGTAATATCGGATTTATTCACCCTATTTCGTTTAAGGTGATGAAGGACTGGTAGCACAATTTTCCCGCAATGCTATGAGTAGAGTTGACATTTCAATTGAATTTCACAGCCTTGCTTTTCCAAAAGTTGTTCTTATCCAGTAGAAGTCTCGAAAGTTTACTTACATACGAAAAATAAGTAACGTATTTGATTGTTATAGCAAAAATACGTTTCCTTCATCGACAATCCAACCAAAGAATGTGATATAGGGAAAGGCTTGGCCTTCCTTCAAATTCACATCTGCCCTGTGACCCAAGGACGAGTGGTTAAAGTGTCAAGCTCACCTTCTGTACTGTCATGATTCGACTCCCACTGGGGGTGTTGATAAGACTTATGCAAGGTCGATACTGCAGTCCATTCTGGATGAAACCAATTTTTGTTGAAGCAAGGCTCTGTGAAATCCAGTGGAAACGTCCGCTCTACTCATAACATTGTGGGAAATTTCTACTACTAGTCCTTTATCATCTTAAACTAAATAGGGTGAATACATCTCATATCGCTTTTTTTCACGGATTAGTTAATGAAGCAAAGTTGTATTTGCTACTACAATCGACTACGTTACTTAATTTCGTTTTTTGAGCAGGTTTTCGAGACTTCCCGTAAATTGCCATCAGTGCATTTATCCTATTTCATTTATGTTGTGATCTACTGGAAGAAATACAACTTTGCATTATCGACGATCCCACCACAGATATGCGATAGTGGGGAAGCCTGGGCCTCCTTGAAATTCACCTCAGCTCTGTCACCCTAAGGCAGTCGTGGTAATGTGGCACAATGGTTACCGTGTCGATATTATAGGCTGCATTACCAGGGTTCGAGTCTCAGCCTGGGTGCTGATGAGGCTAGATCGAAAATACTTGCCTATAGAAAATACCTTTTTGGAAGCAAGGATATGTGAAATTCAATGATAACGTGAGACCTACCCATTTTATTGTGGGAAAATTTCAGCAACAGTCCTTCATCATCTTAACGAAATAGGGAGAAAGCAGTTCGTATTCAAGATTTACTAGTAGTCTCAGAATCATACTAAAAAAATCGAAAAGGCTTTAGCAGATCTCAATGCACCGTTCTAGCTATCTTTGATCGTTTATTACTTTATTTCAAAAGCACCTTGGAACTTCATCAATTGGCTTTAATATACTCCATTTACAACACACTGATTTTTAGTTTTCACAAATATAATCCCATTAAAGTATAATTTTAAAAAGATTAAATATCTTCTCTCTAGGCTGGGTTGATTAGTATCATTGAAGAATGGCAATCAATTCGACCTTAGATTTTTGATAATCCTTACTATTAAGAGGCACATTATTTTGTAGGCCAGTAGTACGACTAATTACTTTATAATATCTATCGTGTAGCTATCTTCTTAGAAACTTTTTTTATTTTTTATTAGCCTCTAGTCTCGGCACTTTGATTGGCGGCTTCGTCGTTCAGTGGACCTCAGTTCTTTGGCTATTCTACTTCACTTCTTGCTTCTGCTTTGCTTGTGCTCTTACGTTTAGCCTATTTCATTGGCTGATCTGCCGGTTAAGTGCAGGTACTTTAACCTCCACTACTTATCATGAGGATGATGTCAATCGGCATCAAATGGTGCCACTAACTACTTGTGACATATTGCGACCAACGACCACAACTGACTTGCAGGATTAGGAAAAATTGGTGCAGATGTGAAGCTTATTGGCCTTAATAGTCTATCCTGGCACAAGACTGCAAGGAGCTGGAGCTGCTGTACTTACGAAAGGAACAATATCATAGAAACTTGTACACCATTGGCTCGCTTTCAGGAATATACTTGAGATAATTCACTTTCTTATAGAACTTGGCTTCCTAAGTTTTATTTAATCTCCATAACTGTTTATATTATAGTGCATTTTTTCTATTTGAGTTACTGAAGTGATGGTCTTCTCACGTATCAGATAATGTAGTTCCAATATATCCTCTGAATTAATATTTCTTACTCAGGGAGTCAAATAACTGGATACAGATGGGCAGCCATCCCCACTTGGTATTAACTACAGGGAAGTACTTCATATGCTAATTTATGTTCTATTTACTATTCTTTTTTTATTTGGAAGATTAAATTTTATAAGATGGTGTTAAATGCCTCGAGACATACCATCATGAAAGTATTGTAATAAAATGTTATGCTTCTAACTCCTTCACTAATTATTTTGTGCAAGTACTATGTAAATCTATCTCATAAGATGTTAGAACTATATGCTTTTTCCGTATCTGAATTATCTGTTGGTTTCCTTATTCGTTCGCTATGTTACAAAAAGAAATACAGAATTTTTTCAGGTCGATCGACATAGTTAAAGGCCTACTACAATCTTAACAACAATGTCATCGACTTTCAAACTATCTTCTATAATGAGAAATTTATTGTTTTATTTGTTTCATTTCCCCAAACTAAATAAGGACAATGGAAAACTGCACATCATCATAGGCTTAAAAAATACTTTACTCTTTTTGAAATAGTCTCTGATTAATTGAAATCAAAATATATTGGACAGGTATTATATATATAAATAACTGTGTACAGCTATACTAGAATAGAGATATTCATATTATCCTATTTTCGGCTCACTAGATATTAGGATAGTTTGACTATTCATTTGGTAAATATAACCAAGCATAAAAATCTGACTCGCTCACCTGTATTCATATCAGTCTAAGTTAGTATGATCCCTGCATACTTTTATCTTCAATTAGTACAAGCTATATGAGCTGTATTTACCCTATTTCGTTTAAGTTAATGAGGACTTGTAGTTGAATCTTTCCACACAGTCTTGCTTTCCCAAAAGCGTTCTCATCCAGGGTTGTTTGCAGGTTCGACCTCGCTTAGATATTATCAACAACCCCAACATGGCAGGGCAATGTGCTATCTCTACACTCTGACCACGCCACAATGCAACGAGTGCCCTTAGTGTCATAGGACAGATATTAATTTTAAGGAAGACCAGGCACTTTCCCATATCATATTTGGTGGGATTGTCGATGATGCAAATTTATATTTGCTATGCCAATCGACTACATTACTTACTTTTCGTGCATGCGTAGGGTTTCGAGGCTACCAGTAAATCAATTATGAAATATATTCACCCTATTTTGTTTAAGGTGATTACAGGTAATTGAATTTTACCACTGCTATGAATAGAGCTGACGTGAAATTCAATGTAAACGTCAGCACTGTCATGGTTCGACTCCCGCTGGGGGTGTTGAAAAGACATGGACGAAGTAGAAACTACAGTCCACTTCTGCCTGGATGAGAACGCCTGCGAAAGCAAGGCTATGTGAAATTCAATGAAAGCATCAGCTCTACTCATATTATTGTTGAAGAATTCAACTACCAGTCCTCATCAGCTTAAACGAAATAAGGTGAATACACATATTCTCGAAACCCTACTTATAAACGAACAATATAGTTCAAGCTACATTTCATGCACTTGCATCAACTAGTTACTAGAAGCGACATAATTATTTGGAAAAAATAAGAATTTTAGACGTTTCTTAACCTTAAACTAGTGTAGATATTGGCGATTAGCCAGACTTCTTTTGTTGGAACTGTTAAGCAAACAGTGCAAAATGTTAGACAGCTAGGAAATAATTCAGACTTATACAGTCTGTTAATAATGATTCAGTCCATAAGCCTGCTCGGTGCCTACAATTCTCGTAGTAATTGTGCAGGAAGTTACCAAGTTATAATACGATAAAATTCATTTTTATCGCCATGCCTTTAAGTTTTATCGTCTTATTTTGGCGTTCTACATTTTTTGAGCATTTAGGTATTCTGCAGGATATTTTCTTCTTTGCCTTTATTAGGACAAGAGGCAAACTATCCTTGTCGGCACTATTTAGCCCGAAGCTGTTCATTTCGCTCAGTCTGTTGATAATTGGAACTCTGACATATTACCATGGGCCCAACTACTGGCGTCTCGCCGAACGACCTAATTTTAGACCATATTGGTAGACTTGTCCTACGTTTCCGGAACAAGACGTCTTTGCTCAGTAAGCGTAAACATTGGCCGATAAAGAAATTTTTATCTGAAACCTTGATTCATGACCATGATTCCTAGCTGTCTTGTTTTACTTAAAAATTAGTGAATGTGTGGGAATTTTATTATTACTGTACTTTGTTCTGGAAACTAGGAACTGCTACATGAAGCTTAAAATCGTTTAGTAGCATAATCGGTGGACTGATTAACTTATGTTTACATTCCTAGCCTAACGAACTGGTTGGGTGGATGGAATTTCCTAATATTTCCGGCTGTTTCCGACTAATAAGATCCATATTACAAACTGGAGTATTCACAGCATTCCATGATTTTCTAATGTCACTATAAATAACTAAGATGATCATGCATATTATTATGCTTTAATACAAAATGCTTTTAAAAATTTAACGAGCAGGCTTCATGATGCCATTGAATTTTATCTAGCCTTGCCTCTTAAAAGGCTATCTTATCCGCAGTTTATACCTCGCATATGTCTCGTAAGCAGTCTCAACGTGATTCGACACCCTGTCGGGAGTATTGCTCTGGTGTTACCACTGTTACATCGCCACAGATGCCAGGTGATCATAAGGAAGATCTGTACGTTAGGGTAAGCTATGCCTCTCTCAACTCAAATTTACAGAACGATTGCCAGTAATGATATTTTTGATCTAAGAAGGCTTCGAGACTGAGTGACTATCGAGAATATGCCAAGTCGATTGAGATGACAGTCACACTTGCTAAGAGTCCCATTATAAATTTGAGCTGACATGGTACCCCTAAGCACCTGTGGCTAGGTAGTATTGAGTATTGGTAGCATCGCCACGATACTCTCGATTTGGTATAAAGTTACGCGGGTGCGGATGAGACCTAGTTGAGGTTTAAACTACAGATAATCCTTAAGGAGGCTATGTTAAGCGAAATTTAATGGCAGCGTGATGCCTATTATGGGAAAACTCGACTAACAGTCCTTAAATTACTAAGAAGTCTAGGGTTGACTCAGCTCTTAATTGGGAATCACTGATACTGCCTTAAGCAACTTATATCGAAATTTATTTTTGTAAATGCAGCTGAAGTGGCTACATACGTCAGAGACTGGATACGAGATAGAATTTTTTCGTTGTTAGCTTTTCGAGACTAGCAGTAAATAATATATATGAGTTCTATTCACCATATTTCGTATGAAAAATCAACTACTAGTTCTTCATCACCTTAATCTGAATAGGGTGAATACAACTCATATATCTGATTTACTGATAGTCTCGAAAACATACTCACGAATAAAGTAATGTCGTCGATTTCCATAGCAAATACAAGTTTACTTCGTCGATAATTCTAACACAGAATATGATATGGAAAATTCCGGACATTTCTTGAAATCTACATCTGCCCTATGACCCAAGGGCACTCGTGGCAATGTGGCGTAGGGCTTGACGTTTCGAAGACCTATACGAGTTCGAAATTACAGTCGACTTCACTATGGATGAGAACACCTTTTGGGAAAGCAAGGCTATATGAAATTCATTTATAAACATCAGCCTTACTCATATCATTGTGGAAAAAAAACTATTAGTCCTTCATCACTTTAAATGAAATAGGGTGAATACAACTCGTTTATGAGATAGAATGTTTTAAGACGCAGGCTTTTTGGTTGTTTTACGTCTGCCATGAATCTCAGGATAAAAGGCCTCTGCCAGTGATAAATAAGGGAATACCTTGGATGTAAGGAAGAGGTAGAAAACTGAGTAAAAAATATTTATACATAATGACGAAAGATTAGGGAGTCTAGAAACTAATAAACAGCCAATATCATAAATGGGAGAAGCGACTATATGAAATAATTTTAGCTTGTAACATGAATTTCTATTTCGAATGAAAAGTTGGTTGGGAGGAATTCATGATGTAGTCTTCGAAATTCTGTTTTTCTTCAATACTTATAGCTGTTGGATAGGTTCAATGATACGAAGGAAATGGAGAATAATTGAGCAAGATAAGAGTACTGGATTAACCTCGAGTCTAGCTGGTACTATTACATTCCTCATGACATGAACAGGGCATGTATGCAAAGGATAATAGCACATGCCTAAAGATAGGTCAATACTGGAGGATCTTACGCTGGTTTGTTTACGTAAGGAAACAGCTGCCGCCACATCCACTTCCTGTCCATGAATTAGCTTCCCTCATCCGCGAACACGCAGAGTAAGTTTGAAGTAAACAAACAGATCACGGGATTTATCATTAAGATCGGAAGAATAGGTGCATAAAAAGTGACTAGGCTTCTCTTTGTTTAGTGTATTTTTGCATAATTTTTTAAGGTATGCACTCTTGCTCTGTTGTCTGTAACATCGGTACAGACGAAGGTGTAGCACAGGTCGCAGGACGGTGAGCCAAGTTCCCTGCTCACACAATCAAACAGTCTTCATTTCGCGGCAATCCTCCGGTTTCCAGTGCGACCGTTTCATGAATTTATTCCTACCAACTTTTCCTTCGGAATGGAAAATTATCTCACAAGAGACACCTGGGCCTGATTGAAGGAATAAAGGAGACTAAGGGTATTGAGCCGGTGACCATAGGAAGGCGACTTAACTGGTCAGCTTAATGGTGATTCTAACTCCACTTAATATGCGTTCAACGATTCTCTTAAGCTCATCATTCTAG